CACACGTGATACGCCGATGCGAGAGACCATTCTACGAGTGGACAGACGCGGACTTCTCTGAACCATCTCAAGAATGTTCTCTCGTGTGTTTATCATTCGTACATCCTCCCTTTCAGAGTGCACAGAAACACTCGGAAGAGAAGCAGTATCACGCAATGTCTGGTGAATTCGCGTAAATACACTTCGAGATGGAATCCTTCAATCGGGAAAACGCCCTTGGTATTCTTCAACAGCAGCACGTGCATTGCCACCGCAAAATCCACACACAAAATGCATATCACAATGTTCCACATGTGAAAACACTAAAGGCGTTTCAGCAATTCTGCACAACTAATTTACCAACCATTCACGACGCGGCCGCAATGTACTCTGTTGGTAGCGCATGAGCTTATGGCTAGTGTGAATCACCACACTCAAGGGCAAACATAGATAAGACGTCTCAGCTGACAGGTATAGTGCGTGGACCCGCCAGAAGACCACACTGTTCTCGGGCCATTATCTCTGTAACCGTTCAACTTTGGACCTAGATGTTTTGGGTTATATTGGCATACTTTAACATAAAGAACACCCTTCCGAAGTTTGGCACATTCCTCCTGGGACACCCTGTATTGTGGCAACCGATTTAATATACAAAGTCCAATATTATTGAAATTGTTTTTGTATAGACTTGTATTACATGGCACTATGAGCAAGTCATCTTTTCTCCTTGTATTGTGTGAGTTCACTCTTTCCCTGTTGAAAGCCGATAACCACAACAACAAATTGTAGGTTTTACTGTAATGACTTCTTAAAAGAGAAATAGGCAAAGTGACACCCTTTGAGGCAGTGTCTGCTATCACAGCCACCTGACAGTTATAACCAGGAATGAGCCATGAAAGTCAGAAGGCAGAAGTCAGAAAGATAAGCCAGAAGAAGTGAGAAGGCAGAAATAAATTAGTGTGCTTCTGAGAGAGTCAGCGATTGTAAGCTCTCAGAATTGAGTGTAATGGTAAAGGAACACTTGTAAATGCATTTTAAAAGGTGTTATACTAGGTGGTGTTAATATGTTGAATCATCGAATGGAAATAGCAACTTCTCACAAAATTTTATCCAATATTCTTCTCTCAAAGTTAAGTCCATACATACTTGAAATTATTGGGTATCACCAGTTGGTTTCAACGTAACAGATCAATTACTGGTCAGGTCTTTTGCATATTTCTGACACTGGAAAAAAATTGGAGTACAATGAGACAATACATCAGCTATTTGTAGACTTCAGGAAAGCCTATGGTTCAGTTAGGAGGGAAATATTGTACAATATTCTCCTAGAGTTTGGGGTACTCATTAAATTAGTTAGGCTGATTAAAAGTGAGTTTAAACGAAATGTATATTAAAATCGGAACAGGTAAACATTTGTCTGATAATTTTCCTATCCAGAATGGTCTAAAACAAGAAGCTTTATCACCACTGCTTTTCAACTTTACTTTAGAATATGCCATTATGAAGGTCCAAGAATACCAAGTGGGGCTGAAATTAAATGGGACACATCAGCTGTTGGTCAATGCTGATAATGTGAATCTACTGAGTGAGGATATAGGTACCATAAAGAGAAACACACAAACTTTATTTGATGCTAGTAAGGAGGTAGAAAACACCACTTCCTTTATTGTTGTGTGCGTATTCGTTGCTGTGTGAATATGGTTACTGATCCACTCCCTAGAAATGAGTTGCATAACACCATTGTTTATTCACCTATTGCATAACAGTGGCTGTATATGCTACAATACATTTATATTTAAGGAAATATGTCCTATATAAAATGTGTAGATGTCCTTGTAATCTGCATAATACCCACAGCAAATTTATGTGCCTTTGTACAGTGGTTCACTCGTTACCACTAAGTAAGTAAGTAAGTAAGTAAGTAGAGGTATCCCTGTAACAGGCTGTGGAGGCCCATAGGGTTGTGAGGTGTTGAGGTTCCCTCATTTTCTAGACAGTCGGCTAATAGAAAGTGGTAAGGTTGTCAGCCTTATGCACTGGCCGCACTTTACCCCCAAGAACATTCCAAGAATATTCCTGGTACTCATTTCTGTTAGAGGCTGAATCGACCCCAGGGCCATAGTGCGGCTGGAAGGATTAGGTAAATTGAAAAATCCAATGATCTCATCGGGATCCAATCCTGCGACCTTCCAGCTTGTAGCATAGTGCCTCAACCAACTACACTACTAGTTACCGCTATCAAACAGAAAATTAAAAGATGAGTATTTCATTATTACCATGTCACTCTTTTATGTTGCATTGAAATATCATCTCAGAAATAGCTTATGTCATATTCAGGCTTTGTCGAGTGTTGAAAAGTTCTGTTGTCTGGAATATAACACAGTGTAGTTCATTGAAAGTTAGCCAGTGTTCTGCTGAAACATTGGTTGACTGTCAGTGGACTGCATGGCTTTATACACCAGAAGGTATAATACTTTATAATCACTGCTGTGAGAATGTCAAATCCTACGTCTGTTAAATATTTTCAGACTTAACTGTAATTTAAATATTTTCCAGATTATGATGTGGATGAGATCCTGACATATGAGGAGGTCTCGCTCTATTATCCAAGAGCAAATCACAAGAGGCCTATAGTTCTCATTGGCCCACCTAACATTGGCAGGCATGAACTAAGGCAGAGGTTAATGGAAGACGCAGAGAGGTTCGCTGCAGCAATACCACGTAAGTTATCAGTGCAAGATTTTATGCCCTTACATGTATTTTCGTACCTTACCCATTGAAGCATTTAGCTCATCTTGTTTCCCAGTAGTATCTAAAAGTTTGTGTCAGGATCAGAAGGATTTCAGCAAGGAAGTTAAGAACGTGAGGCATGATGTGATGATTAATGAACGCACACAAGAATTCATTGAATCCATAATGAAGCCCTCAAGAAGCAACCATCCTTTGGATACAATATACAAGGGCACAATCCTTATCCCATGTGGTAAGGGTATCTACAAAAAATTGAGATGCATTGGAAACTGTTTCAGTGTCAGGACCATTTGCATCCACTCCACGGGACACTTATGAAAACTAGATCAGTTAGAGATGCCCAACAGACGAAGCAGTGTGTGTGTACAATATCCCATGTGATTTTGGCACATTTTACATTGGTGTAAGAAGCAGACCTTTAGAAGTACACATTAAGGAGCACAAGTATAACCTGACACAAGGTCTGCTTGGAAAATCAAAAGTAGCCCAACATGAGTATAAAAAAGGCCACAAAATGTGTTGGACAGGAGCAAAGGTCTTTCAAATCGAACCAGACATACAGGAAATGCAAAGAATCCACCTTCATGCCTCTGGTACATCATCCTATCAGTCAACTTATCTTGGACATCTGTCCCATCTGGACTCTCACTATTGCAGCAGAAGTCAGAAAACTACAACTCCATTCAGTGTAGACTATGTGCGAAAATTGTGTTTTCATTATGGTACCATAAAGAGAATTTGTCTCTTTAGTCTTGACTTCTATTCTGATGGTACTTGTATTTTAACACTATCTTGTGTTGGTGCTGGTGTTCAGAGATAGGGACCAGCTATATCGATTGGGTCCAACTGAGTATGTTCCATGTGAAGATGGAAACAGAATGCAGTCTCTGAAATGTTGTGTGTTTAAAAAAAAACTGATGATAAATAATGTCCAGAAACACAATATTATATTGTTTCCTAGTGTCCAACCTATTATAGCCTCAATTCGCTTTAAGTTTCTGATAAACTGTCACTGTGTTTTCTCTCTTTTCATCCTCAAAGAACTTTTTCTCATGAATTTGTTTCCAGGCTGCTTTGTTGTGTTTCTTTTCTCCTTTACCCAGTCACATGAGCTCTGTGTCTCTCAACTGATTTCTTTCATTTTACTTCGATGCCTGAACCTGAATCTTGTTGTAGTCCATCCATGTAATATGGGCAAAGTACAGATCAGTGCTGTTCTATCTTTATACCTTGACAGTACTCACTGATAGACCAAGATTCATCAGAATCAAATTTTCATCAGACAGGCTGGTCTAATGTTAATGCTCTCCACTTGTATTTGGGAGTGCTCAGTTCAAATCCCAACTGGGACACCAGTTATCCTGAATGAGGTTTTCGTCATTTTCCTCAGTCCTTCCAGGCAAATGGCAGTATAGTACCTGATCTAGGCCACAGTCACTTTCTTTCACAGCTTTTTCAGTTTGTCATTCATCTATCACGACATTGTTTTCATTTGTTTGCTGTTGCAGATACCAGTCGATCAAGGAAAGAGGGGGAGGTAGATGGTCAGGATTACCACTTCATTACAAGGGTACAATTTGAGGCAGATATCCTTTCACGGAAGTTTGTTGAACATGGAGAATATGAGAAGGCCTACTATGGAACTTCCCTTGATGCAATACGGAGTGTTGTCAACTCAGGAAAGATCTGTGTTCTCAACCTTCATCCACAGTCACTCAAGATACTCCGAAGCTCTGACCTTAAGCCATATGTGGTGTTTGTGGCACCACCCTCACTAGAGAAGCTCAGACAGAAGAAGATACGGTGTGGAGAGGCATTCAAGGTAAATGATGAGTTCATGCAGTGTGCAATTCAAAGAACCCTTTTTGCCTCGAAACTTAAAAAAGTTCAGCCAGTTCCTTTTACTCAGATGTTCACATTGCTGACTGTTTATGCTTAGGTGTAACAAAGCCTTTTCCATGCTCCCTTCTTTCAAAACATTTTGCAGCTTTATTTTATGTCATAATATTCATTGACAGTCCCATTTGGGCATGTCATTTTGTCATAAAGCCTTCTCATCTTGTATCTGTATCTTCTCTTTTCCCCATTTATTCTGGATATCTTACCTTATTTAGTCTCCCTACTTCATCCTCAGTCTGCCTTTTTAATGTTTTCAGTGCACAACATATGTTGATGCAACTCTGAACTTAAACTGACCAAATTTCCTGTAATCATTCAGCTTGCATGTGGGCCCAATGTCCTCATTTCAGATTTTAACCATTATTTTTTCCTCACTGTATTTTATTAAATGCCTTTCTTCCTTGCTTATTTTTTTATTTCATCCTTTCATCATACTCTTGGACTCCCTGTTGGGCTTTTCATATTTCATTCTATTTCCATTTATATTTCCATAGATTTCTCTTCTTACTCTTATTACGTTTTTTATTTAACACCATTGTAATTTAATACGCAGTGTAAACGATATGTATTTTTTCCATGAAAGTGTCATGAGAATTTCACTATTTACTATGGCAGGAATAAATTTGTTTCACCATAGGTTCACTCCACAGGCATCAACGTTGGATAAATTAAACTGATACAGATTTCATAAGAAGAGGTTCAGTCTCAGGAAATTTAACGAGGTAAAGGGTAAAGAGCAGCATCGTGCTGAAATCAAAAACAGGTTTGCAGCTTTGGGAAACTATTAGAGAGAATATAAAAATTTCAATGAATGCGAGTCTGGGTTATTATGAACTGAAGAAGCATAAGTCATGGTTCAGTGAAGGATGCTCAAAATTATTAGACAAAAGGAAACAAGCCAAATTGGAGTTATTACAGGATCCAAGCGAAAAAAATGGGAATAATCGGAGCAGTATAAGATGTGAAGCCAGTAGGCATTTCAGGAATAAAAGGTGAGATTATCTGAAAGCAAAATTAACGAGTTTGCAACTCTCAGTATGAACAAGAACCTAGAGAAGTGTATAGAGAAATAAAATAATGTAAGAAGGGTTACCAGCCTAGCAGTAACTTAGTGAAGGATGAGAATGGTGATCTGCTTGCAGTTTCCCACAACATTTTGAATAGGTGGAAGAATACTTCTCTCAGTTATTGAATGTACATAGGGTCAGTGATGTTAGGCAGACAGAAATACAAGTACATACGAGCCATCACTACCTGATCCTAGTACTTTGGAAGTTGAAATTGCTATTTCAAAGTTGATGAGGTATAAATTGCCAAGTAGAAGAACTGATTCAAGCAGTAGGGGAAACATTATAGTCTGAGATCCAAAAACTCGTTAATTCTGTTTGGAATAAATAAGAATGGCTTGATTAGTGGAAGGAGTCTATTATTTTACCAACTTACAAGAAAGGTGATAAAACTGACTAATAATTATCATGGGATATCACTGCTATCAACTTCATTCAAAATTTTATCCAATATCCTTCTCTCAAGTTTAAGTCCATATATAGATACATTTACTGGGGATCATCGGTGTGAGTTTTGGTGTAACATATGAGCTAACTGATCAGATTCCTTAAAATAATCAGGTGTGGAAGAAAAAGAATGGGAGTACAATGAGACAGTGCAACGGCTGTTCATATACGTGAAGAAAGCCTATGATTCAGTTAGGAGGGAAGTACTGTACAATATTCTGATATAGTTTGGGGCACCCATGAAGCTAGTTAGGCTGATTAAAATGTGTTTAAATGAAACATATAATCTATATAGGTAAACCTTTTTCTTAATATTTTCCTATCCAGAATGATCTAAAACAATGAGATGCTTTATCACCACTGCTTTTCAACTTTGCTTTAGAATATGCCATTAGGAAGGTCCAGGAAAATCAGGTAGGACTGAAATTAAATGGGACACATCAGCTGCTGATCTATGCTGATAATGTGATTCCACTGAGACATAACATAGATAGCATGAAGAAAAACACAGGAACTCTAATCAGTGCTAGTAAGAAGGTTTGTATAGAAGTAAACACAGAGAAAACTAAAGCCAAAATATTGACATAAAAATAGCTAATAGATTCTTTCAAAATATGGCACAGTTTATATATTTGGGAATAACAGTAACAGATCAAAATTTGATTCAAAAGGAAATTAAGAGGAGATTGAATTCAGGTGATGTTTGCTGCCATTCAGTCCAAAACCTTTTGTCTCCTTGTCTGCTGTCTGAAAAGGTAAGAATTAGAGTATACAAGACTATAATTTTGCCTGTGGTTCAGTATGGGTGTGAAACTTAGTCACTGACATTAAGGGAGGAGGAACATCAACAGAGTGTGTTTCTGAATAGGTTGCTGAGGAGAATATTTGGACTGAAGAGAGCTGAAATGACTGGAGATTGGAGAAACATGGGGAAACATACCAGACTGCATGGCATCACATTCCAGAAGACTGAGATGCAAATATGAAGCATTTTACAAAGCAGTTGGTGTTTGCTAAGAGAGCTGATGTTGTTTTATGTTGTTTTTCAGGAGGATGAACTAAAAGATATAATTGAAAAGGCTCGTGAAATGGAGGACAGATATGGTCACTTCTTTGACATGATCATTATCAACAATGATACAGACAGGGCATATCATCAGCTTGTCAGTGAGATCAACAGCCTGGAGAGGGAGCCTCAATGGGTACCAGCCAGTTGGGTCAAGAATACATGAAGAAGTATGGTTGGAATCAAAACTTTCTGCAAGTGGGTTTAAAAATACATCAACAACTATGATTATGTGTGCCTGAAGCCTTTCTGTTATATATGACATAAAGAAGTAAAAAAGACACAATGAAATGTCCAACCAGGAAATGTGTTATATAGAAAGACACCCTAACTGTAATAAGATACTGCAGAAAATGTGGTTTGAAATGAGATAAGGGTTCAAAACATATAAAGAAAAAATATAATAGCAGAGTCTCATTAGAACTAGACAGCCTGTATATATAGCAGGTTTGTGCTTTGGTGCTAATACTATGCCACCTTATGAACCACAAGTGTATTTTTTGCATTTATTTACATGGATGTTGCAAAGCATATTGGTGCATGTAGGATAGTATGCGTGACAAAAATGATGGATTCTAATTTGGATGATTGGATTTATTAGCACCTTGGGTACAGCCTCTTTTAATTACACCAAAATTACAGCACTTTCACTGATTTACACACTTCATAATTCACTGTTGCATGCACACACTAGTCCTCTCCAGGAAACATCTCAACACAGAAATTAGTGCTTCAAAGCACTCCACATGAATAAAGTCCTGTAACCACACACAAAGTCTGTACTGGCTGACTTCTCAGTTCTCACTCACTATCACTGATTATCACACTCATAAAACCTTCAAATCACATGACAAGTCTTCACACGACGAACATTCTGTGGCTATCTTATGCCAAGAACTCTCTCATTGTTTCTTAAACACTTAAACATACTCAACACTCTGAAATACTCAGATCTGTTCTCTCTGTAGCTGTTGTTGTATAGCCTCTGCACCAACCACACAGAAAGAGCCTCTATTGTTACAGAGGAGTGTTTACTGCAACGTTGCATAGCAGCAGTCACAGCATAGACTCCATAGAAAGCCAGTCATGTGATAGCTATTACTATTGCAGTGTGATGTCATTATGCTTGCATGGAAGTCTGTTTACTAAACTGTTGCTTAGAAGTGGGTCGCATAACCTCGTTTATTGTTGCCAGCGTGCATCGTGTATGTTTACCGGTCCATTACCTAGCAACACTTTGACCATTCACGTTCAATATGTAATGAGAATCCCAGTGTTCCTTAATTTTGTGAAGTGCAGGACATTGATTCACAACAATTTGCTCTCCAAAGTGGAAATATGTAACATATATTACTCCTGCCTTCACATCCGTAGTCTCCATGAATGAGCCACATTGGATTATTGTGCATTCAACAGTAGCTGAAATTTGACATGAGAAGAGCTTGAAAGTTGAGACACCCATAAATAATTTTTCTTTTATTGTCATGGAAAATGAGTTAGATGATTACTGGAAGTTAACAAACTAATTAAGACAAAATACAGTTGTTAGTATAATTTATGAATTTGTGTAAATTAGTCCACAAAACTGGGCTTAATATTTATTACTTTGTCTTAGTCCCCACTGCCTTAATTTGAATCTTTTTAATGATATGCTTTCAGCGTCAAATTTCACTGAAAGGATTGAAGGAATAGGCGCCTGCCACATGTGGCCCTTGAGACAGAAGTTGGTGATCTATGAATCTTTATACATTAATTAAAATCTCATGAGACCTAATGAAAGGATATATGGATGGTTATAGTTAGATTACACCAGTTGCTCTGCATAATTTTATTCCATATTTTATATTTGGCTTTGTCAAGTTTCACTTTATTCATTTCGGTCCATCACGCTAGTTGATTAGTGTTGTCAGTTCGTTTTGTAGTAATGGCTTTGTCAAATTTGTAATATTTTGGGGACCATCATACAGTTTTAGAATGTTCTCCATGTGTGGATACTTTCAAATTTTAACAAGTTCTTTTGAGAATGATCTTAGCTTTATACAAAATTTTGATTTGTCATGAATTTACTTTCAGTGCTTGTTTATAGCAAACCTGCAGTATGTTTAATAATATTCATGGCTATTTCACCTCTGAGCCAGGAAGCCAGTCTGCTGACTGATTTCTTACATTCTGTACATCATGACTTAAAGAAGATTTATTTCATTCTGTATTCTGTTGACAGATGTGTTTTCAAGGCCTGATGCTTAATTACCTAAACACAGACAAATTCACATTTCATTCCATTGATAAAACATGAACATATAGGATGGTGAAAAGTCACTACCCAGTGGTTTAAAAATGGTGTCATCATGTTTGTTATTATATGATTGTAACAGATTTAATCAATTCTTTGCCAGGCAACAGATCTGTAAACACAATCCAACACACAACAATAGATGAGGCTGTGTTTTCTATGTCATCCACGCTGAGCAGCAGTAGAACAATGTGATTATGCAACCCATTCCTAAACATCAGCTCAGTATTCCGTGTAGTTAGTTAGTTAGTTAGTTATTAGAGAGGGTGGGTTTCCTCATGCACTTAGACCTGTATTGGTCCATTGTGCTTCCCTCTATGATTTCTACCAGTCTCTATATCCTACTGGTACTAGTGCTTACCATCAGTCCTGCCCAGCCAGCGAGACCGGCTCTACTAGCTGAGAGGTATCTATAATGCTTCCCCCATCTACCAGAGGTATTAGAGACTGCTGTTGGGCGGGAAACATCCGTAATTGGCTCAGTGACCTCCTTTGGAGATATGAGGTTCTTTTACATGCCGTAAAGCTGCGACATGGGACCCACGGCTTAGAGTACCTCCCGGAGGACTTGTTCCCTGAATTTTTCCGTCCTTAAATATTCGACGACCTCCGCCGGGTATTTGAACCCGCGTACTATGAGTCATGAGGTGGGAACGTTACCTCTAGACTACGGAGGCTGCTAGTATTCCATGTAAGCAGTGACGTCATCAACAATAGAGACAGTGTTTTCCATGGGGTCTGTGCAGATTGCTCATAAGAGAAGTGAATGCAGTGATAGAGTTAGTTCAAGGGCAGTTATGAGTCAGTCATAAGCTGAAGGAGTGAGTCCAGAAGAATTTTTTAGTTCTGAGATTCCAGATTGATTGAAGACCAAATAGCAGGCAGACTTCATACTGATTTGAATTGCTAGTTTCTGTATTGAGATCCATTGCCAGGAGATGACTAGTGAAGACTGGGAATCCTAGTGCCTATGCAATGGTGATTGAAAATTGTGCACATCAGTGATAGCGCTATATTTCAGTGTGATTAGAATTTGTAGACAAGGTTCTAATAAATAAAGTCATCCAAACTAGAACCCATTATTTTCATCACACGCACCACACGACATTATGTTATTTTGTTATTATCTATGTTATATATCACTGCCATTTATTATACAAGTTATCTACCTTAAATGTTCAGAATGATCACCGTCTGGTCTTTGATGACTTTATTTTAACAGAAGCTGACAACAGTGAAATGTGCAGTTAAGATTGTCTTCCAGCAACATATGAGTTAATCTCAGAATGTAATGCTTCAATTTGGCAGCTTCATTTAGTATTCTTTAGCCATCTAGACACTCCTTGCTCCAGAGCAAGCCTGTGAGTAAATTTCCTAGGACTTTGGATTACTGCTTGACAAAGAATTCTTTGTTCTCCTCTAAACTGACTGTTCAGAGTCTACCCATTCTCAGAGAAGTCAACACAGTAACATATTCTTGAAATCGCTGATACACATTATCACTGGAAAAATCACTTTTATATCATATTTTTTAGAAAATATCTCTTCTTGTTTAGCCAACATAATCACACGTGAAACACACCTATGAGACAGAATGGAACATAAATGGTCAACATCTGTTTCTATGTGCATCAGCACCCTAGCATGCTTCAATGGGTAGGTGGATAGTAACTGTCACAGAAAACAGGTGTTCAAATCTGTTTCTACACATCAGTGCATTAACACATTGCGGACAGGTTGTTTAAATATTTAAATCACCCTGGGGACCGGGGTTTTTAAGCCTATCACCCTAACTTGTGCACTATTCACTTTAAAAATTAATATAAAATCTCCTAATTAATTTTATGAACTAAAATTTTTGGAGAACACTTACCAGAGCTCCTAGAAGTGCTTGCGCATGTGATAGCTCTGGAAACATTCCCCTTTGTGAAGAGGCATCACGCAGAATTTGCAGATGTACGCAGTCCTACTCTTCTTCTTGTGGACTGCGCGCACACGGCACTGCCTAGAAGTGTACTTCTTGCAATGTTCACTCTTCACAATTCTCACGAGGGTATGTTTCCACATATCACCCAAGAGTAGTCCAGGGGAGTCCACATGAGGCCTCCGGCGGGTGCGTACAAATGGCCCTGGCTGCACTACGTCTGTGTCTGACACAGGTACTGCCACCACCGTGAGGTCAGTAGCCCAAGCTTTTGCCAAGTTCAATAGAAATGCTTTGTATTTCAAAGTAGAATTTCTGTTCACCTTTTTGAAAACCGAAAATGAATAAAAAGTGCACAGTTTATAAGCCACACAATATTTTTGGGGGCCCTGTGGCCCCTGTCACTGTCACTGTCACTTTCACTGAGGCTGGCCTCGCTATCAGAAGACGAAGCAGTTGGCAAATCTGATAGCTCATCGGAGAACAAATCTAATATTTCTTGTTCTCTGAGAGAACGCTTCACCTGCGACTGCTTTTGTCTCTGATCCATGTTGCACTTCTAACTTCCTGGTTCATACGTGGAAGCTTGGACTCGAACAAAGGCTTTTTTCTTTAGGGTGTGACAGGAAATGAGCGTGATCATGTTACTGGCTAAGCTAGCAAATATTCCTGAGGTCAACTACGCAGTAGTTATGATGCAACGTGGCCACACAGCGAGATACAGTCTGTTGCAACATAACGCGTCAGAAAAGGGCCAATTTGCCCGCCTGGTCCGCAACGCCATAGAAACGTAGAGGGTCAATTGGCCCTTCTGGTCCTGAATGTGTTAAGCCAACCAGTACATTTCATTGGGTAGTGACTTTTGTGTCATCCAATATATTTTGTTTTTCATATTTTTATCTGTTTTGAACAGTCCTCTCAGTATCAGCAATATACAGTAAGGCAGTAAGATGATGATGACTGAAGAGGAGAATGAAATGCACATTACAGTTTCTTAATTCTTTGTGTTTTATTTATAATTTGTTTTCAGTATTGTTAAGAATCCTGATAAAAATGGCATGCTTATAATACTTTGCTTCTTTTTCAGATGGCTGAAGTCAGATAGACAAGATGTCTGCCACTTTGTGAATATGGTGTAACTGAATGACATGAACAATTCTGCAATAAATACTTAAATATCATGCTGGCCATGAGATGAACTGTTTATGTTAGACAGACGTAATTGCCACATGCTGATAACCTCTACTTAGTATTGAAATGGACATAACTGTTATTCAGTGGGAAAGAAACTTAGTGATGATCTTGGGTCGATCCATCATGAACGTCAAGAAGATGGAGCACATACTTACGTTACATCTTACGTCAACGTAGCCACGTTGCCTTTCTCCCTCAGTTTGTAACGATTATTACTGACTCCATTTTGCATAACATTGTTAATATTATTCAACTTATTTTTAGGTCTCGAATTGATCATTATAGTGTGCAATGTGGGTAGAGTGCCATTCATTCATGACTGTATCTGTCACATTGACACATCGAATGGCATTCTCAAATATGTGTAAGTTCTTATGTTTGTCCCTCATGGACCATTTTATCAGCCAGACAGTTAGTTTGGGTGAGGTAACAAAATTGTCAGTAGAAAAGGGAGATGAACATTCTAGTTTCCCATTTAGTTTTGTCAGCCTTGCAAGTTGTAGCTCTTCCACTATTGTCCCTGTGGCCACTGCCTTTGATGGTAAACGTATTACAAAAGGAGTACTTGGTATTTCCTTTCATACAGTTATTTTTTTGTGTTAAACAAAAGAAGTATAGCCAAACCATTTTTGTCGAGTATTATGTGTGGAAGAGAAAATTCATAATAATACTATTCCCTATCTTGTCAATTTTTAAGTAGATGAATAAAAATTGAATGTTTTCACTTATTTTGAAGACAGAGTAGGATGTGAATATTGTATCTTTTTTTTTAAAAATAGAACCACTTATGTTCTGAGACAAGCATCCATGATTAAAGAAAGTAAGTATGATGTTATGTGCCCCACATTTTGATAGCTTCTTGTATCTTAAATGTTACTTTTATCATAAGATTGGTTTTAACCTTTCTTTTTACATCTCCAGTAAAAGGTGTATGGGGGAGAACAAATGAGGGGTGCTGCTATACCCATGCTCTGTTTTAACTAAGCAATACATTACCAAGTCATGCAAAACTTTCAAATGTTTTAGTAATGGATCTGCACCAAGTTTAGAAAACCAAACCCTTCTTCCCTACCCTCAAATCTTTGTAAAAACTTACTCTTGACCAACTTTGTTTATATAAATTATTCATATTGTTTTCACAAGGTGTTAGATAAAGAATGTACAGTTATTTTTATTATATAATAATATTGAAAATAACAGATTTCCAAATATGTACTGTTATATTATTAATTTCTATTTTAAAAGGGTAACTCTTTTTCAAACAAAAAGAAACTGCTCAAGAACTTAGTGCTGTACTATGAAAGCTTATAAAAGAATGATGAGAGCAAGCAAATGTAAATAGGCTGCTTCCTCTCATATATTATTATTATGTACTTATAATGAAAAAAAAAAAAAGAAATGTATATTTCTGTTGTGTAATTCTTTAGTAAACGGTACCAATGTGTAATAATGCTGGTTATTCTTTTAATTTCAAACCTGTAAGAATATAGTGTATGCACTTCTTACACATATAGAACTACTTGTACTTAGAGCTGGGAGACAGATTTTATTGGACTTGAAACAAAGTAAATGGGCTAGTATGTACTTGCCCAGAACAGAACAGCTATCAGAACAAACATGTTAGTGTGGCGAGAACAGAGCAGACAGACCACCATAGACTCAAAGTTGGAGAAATCAGGTAGTATGGACTTGCAATGAGACATACTGGCTAGTATGTACTTAAAGTATACTGTAACTAGGAATGCAATGTTTCCAGATCCTGGCAGATGGTATGCTTCAATTTGACACTTTCCCTGTCACCAGAGCAAGGAATGTGGGATTCATTGTAGGGGTTCTAGAACTGAATATTCCACTGTTCTTTTTCCCTCCTAACAAGAATATAGTTCATCAAGGCCTTTCATCTTGGAGAGTGGTATCTACTGGTCTTTTCAAATAGAAAGTGTGTGACTGTCGAGATTATAGCTTGCTGGGTTGTGATGCTCTGTATTATGGTAAATAGGTGCCAGCATTTTGGAGGAACCTACTTTTTCCATAAGATGTAAAGATTTGTGATGGTGGTCCATTAGTACAAATATTAAGTTTGTGGACATTATCCAACGTTTTGTTTTTATCAGAAACACTGTCCTGTTTATATTTCGAAACACAACGTTTCTGAGACTAGATTCTGTCTCCATTGTCAGGTAATTTTTCTTTAATTTGCATACTGGGGCTTGGAGTCCAGCTGGGTCCACTCAGCACGGCGGCCACAGATTGGCCTATTGTATCTGTCCCGGGTGATTGTGATGATGGAGAATTTGGTGGAATGAAGATTGGCAGAGGAAACCGAAGTACTCAGAGAAAGCCTGCCCCAGCGTCACTTTGTCCACCACAAATCCCACTTGACCAGACCTGGGATCGAACCGGGACCAATGCAGTGGGAAGCCAGCTTTGGTGCAGCGTAACCATCTTCAGGTAAAACTTACCCAGTTGGGCCCAATCGGTAGAGCTATTCCCTATCTCTGGACACCTGTATCAGCACCAACATAAGGTATACAAGGTGGTCCATTTACATGCTGATTGGTTGACCGATTAATTTAAAGACAATGGGATGGTTATTTGTGATCGTCAAAGATTGAAGCAACAGTTCAAAATGAAAACTTAAAAGAATGAAATTGAACTTAACAGTTCTAACAAATTGTTTCATTTTTAAATCTGGTTTTATTTGGGTCTTCACTTTTATTATCTCTCATGTAAGATAGGTGAAATTGTTTCTTCAAAGTATCAGTAATTAACAGTGGATGGAAATTAACTACCAAATATGAGTAATTCAAGACATTAAGTTTTGTGAGGAAGTATGATATATGCAGATTATTGATGGTGATTGATATTGGATTGTACTGTGAATCAGTAGTGATTGATGTTTTGATAAATGTGTGTATGCCACAACCATGGCTAGCAAGGGCAGAGACAGATTAGTAAGTTGAATTTTAAACTATATTAACATAATAGTGATTTCAGTATACATAAGAATAAATTCTATTTTAAGTATGCAGCTAGGTGCTATAAAAATTAAATCTACCAACTGCTGCCAATAAAGTTGTTCAGTTATAAGGGACCTGTATAATCTAATTCGCCTCATACCCTGCATCTCCCTAGAGATGGCTGTGTTTTAGTCTTCTTTATGAAAAATTTTGAGAACCACATATTCCTAGTCAAGAACCCTTTCCTTCTAAGACAGATTCCAATGCTGAGAGGTAAGGGGATACCTTTTAAGTTCATGACAAAAACAACATATTCACTTTAAAAGTGAATAATAAATACTAATATATATTAAAAGTTAATGAACTTATTGACAGTTTCATATTTTATTTTTGTGTTTTATTTAAAGGGAGCCAGTTTACATGATAAATTGACCTTGCCCGTGGTTTTTCCTTGAGGAAGCCTGTTTCTAATGCCAATGGAAAGGATCACAGTCTCAACATTACTAGTACTAATATAGAATTTTTTAACAACTTGCTAAAATGGGTCTTTATACAGATACTTCTATGTTTGTCTCATTAGTTGTGGATAACAGTTTTATAAGCAGCAGAAATAATTATGTTTGTTATTATGTGTTTGATGATGTTTTATAAATACTAGTGTTCATGGGGAAACTGATTACAATTGGAGGCCATGAAATTCTGTGGAACCAGAAATGACATATATTTACCGGTGTTGAGATGTCATTCTTTTCATTTCTCTGTCTTGAGTTCATCCAAATGGCCAGTCAAGAAGTGAAACTCCAGCGTTGGACAGAAGCTGTGACAGTGTGCCAGCTAGTTAGGACTCTATACACATGGACTATCAGTGAAATGGCTACTGTCAGGGTAAAACTCAAATAGGCTACTTGGGGAACAGTTTGCCCTAGTGCCAATTTTAACTATCACAACTTGACATCCCTAGATTTCCCTGAATCTCTGTAATGAAAACCTGAGCTACAACATATATGCATATATATAAGTAATTTTGATCTCATAACAAGGTTAGAAAGTTGTACTGTAATGGAGTATACATATTTTCCAAATATGTTATATGAAATTTCATGTACTTCATCTTCATTTCTTAACAATACACATTGCAAAGCTTATACCACTATTAAAAGTGCCAACTTCTCTGAATATGGAGCCGGGTAGAAGTCACATCCCAGAAAATAGTATTCTTTATAGCCGCCACCTTGAAAATATCACATCTCATACTTGTCACATTACATAGCACAAAGTTATTTTCCATGTGTTTTTTAAATACTATTCACTATACCGAAAAATGTACCAAAGAGAAGTTCCATACAAACACACAATATATCATGTACTAATAGTTTGTTCGCTGAGGTGTTCTTGAGTAATCAGTGAAGACTGATGTACACAACAGTCTAAGGCAGCCCTGTTCAACGTGGCGCCCATTATGTATTTTTCTGGCACCCTCCATAAGCACATATAATTGAGCTGATTTTTAATATTAATTCAGATTGTAAGACAAGAGACATTTTTGAACGTCTGAGTACTGTTAAATATTTTCACAAAATTTCCTTGAAGCATGATACAGTATTAGACATTCCTTGAAAATTTATTCCTATTCTTTTCTCCCTTGCTAACAACGCCAGTCTTAATTCTTTTTTCACTAAAGAAACCGTCATCCTCTCAAGATCATGTAATTTTCCCTAGCGGTATTTTTACCCCTTCAAATAGTCGCAAGTCCCCAATGAATCTGCTTTCATGGATTTCGGATTTATGGTCAGGGTATCATAAAATTTTCTGTGATCGGCAGGGCAAACATATTCACTGACCCGAACATGACTATGGGGCCCAACTTACCGTAATTTCCCCAATTTTTAAACTCATTGGCAATATGAATCAAAATTACTTTAATCCCAACAAAGCGATGCCGCAAACAATAAGAATTTATTAGAGGGTCGTACACTAATGGAAATTGGTAGTAGCTATATTTCCCAGTTCACTTTCTTCAGCCAAACATTCAGTATTGCGAGTTTGTGATGACCACAGTTCAGTTATTGTGTCTTGTGTTGTGACAACTTACACAGTTATCAGTGTATTTTGTTATTGTACTTCAAATTATTGAGTAAATAAGCAGTGCTATTTTTATATAGCTATTCTTGATACGGCTGAAAGACAAAGAAGTTATAGTTTTAACAGTGGATGGGAGGAGCAGTATTGTTTTATTGAATACAGAAGAAAACCTGTGTGTTTATTGTGTAATGGTAGCGTGTCTGTTCCTAAAAATGTAATGTAGAGCGACATTTCCTGACTAACCATAGAAACTTCAACAATGAATTTCCTGTGAAATCTGAACTAAGAAAACAAAAGGTGAAAGACCTAAAATCTAAATTAACCTTGCAACAATGTGTATTTACAAAGCCTATCCAGCAAAGTAGTAACATAACAATAGCTTCTTATAAAATCTGTCATGTGTTAGCTAAAAGGAAAAAACCTTTCAGTGATGGGGAAATAGTTAAAGAAGCCATGATCAGTGCCAGCGAGTCTCTGCTCAATGGTCACAAAGATAAATCTGCACTTATGACTTCCATCAAAGGACTTCAGTTGTGTCACAAAACTGTTGCTAGACAAGTTGAACAGATTTCTGATAATCTGGAATCTCAAATACATCAGGATTTGCAATCGTGTGAATATTTTTCACTCCAGCTTGATGAAAGCACTGATATATCGGATGTTGCACAATTATGTGTGGTTGTTAGAATTGTTTTTGGCGATTTTACGGTAAGGGAAGAGTTCGTTAAACTGCCGCCACTTCATGAACGTGCTAGGGGAGAAGACATAATGAATGTGTTCCTTAAATTTGTGAAAGAATGTAACTTACTACTTTCAAAACTTGTTGCTATAACTACAGATGGGGCGCCTTCAATTACTGGTAGGAACAATGGGTTCCTTGCTCTTTGTGCTAAGGATGAATCATTTCCCAGTGTTCTTTCTTATCACTGCATTACCACCAGGAAGCTTTATGTGCAAAGGTTTTGAAGTTCGACCATGTTATGAATGTAGTAACTCGTGTGGTAAATTATATCAGATCGTCTTCTACTCGTTATCGATTGTTCAGAAATCTTTTGAATGTGTTGGACACTGAGCATGGTGACATAATTTTCCATGCAGACATAAGGTGGCTTAGTAGGGGGAAAACACTGGAACGATTTTTCTGTCTTCTGGATGAGGTCAGGGACTTTCTGAACTCATCTCCTGGCCAATATTATGAAGAACTTGATGAAATATCATGGCTACTAGATTTAGCTTTCTTGACAGATATCACCTCAAAATTAAATGAGTTAAATCTTGAATTACAAGGGAAAGTTCGCTACATTTCAAGCATGATAGGTGTAGTTAACGCTTCTCAAAAGAAACTACAGCTATGGATTGCACATTTAAACAGAAATTCCTTCTCACATTTTCCGCATATGAAATCTGT